AGAGAGAGAGGAGAGAGGCAGGGGGTAGAGAGAGAGGAAAGAGGCAGGGGGGAGAGAGAGAGGAGAGAGGCAGGGGGTAGAGAGAGAGAGGAGAGAGACGGGGGCGGGGGAGAGAGAGAGAAAAACATCAATGTGAGAGAGACACATCGATTGGTTGCCTCCTGTATGTGCCCCAACTGGGGCCGGGGATCGAACCCATGACCTTTGGTGCATGGACCAATTCTCTGACCACTGAGCCAGCACTTTTTGGGACATCCTGTATATTCATATATAGTCTGTGTGGACATGTGCTTTTGTTTTTCTTGGATATATACCTAAGAGCAGGCTTGCCTAGTCATGGGATATGTATGCTTAACTTTATAAAAAACTGCCAAACCTTTCCCCAGGTGGCCGTACCATTTTATACTCCCATATAATTGAGCTCCTGTTGTTCCATGTCCTTGCTAACATTTGACGTTGTCCGTCTTTAACTGTAACCATGCTGGCGGGTGTGTAGTGATAGCTCACTTTGGTTTACATTTCATTTCCGTGGTGACTAATGAGGTTTAGAACATTTTCAAGCGATTATGAGCCATTTTTATATTTTCCCTTGTGAAGTATTCAAACATTTTTCTAATGGGTTATCTTATTTTTGAATTACAGGAATTCTTTATGCATTCTGGATATTCATTCTTTGTCATAAATAGGTTTCTTCATAACAGCTTTATTAAGATATAATTTACATGCCATAAAATTTACCCTTTTAATAGTTTTTAGTATATTTGTAGAGTTGTGCAAACATCACTGCTCTCTAATTCTGGAACATTTTTCTCACCCCAGAAAGAAGCCCAGCGTCCATTCAGTCACTCCCCACTGTCCCTCCCCTCACCCGGCAGCCACTGATCTACTCAATGTTTGCAAGTACTTTTCCCCATCTTTGGCTCACATATTTATTTTCTCAAATGTGTCTTATTACAGGAAGACACTTTTAATTTTGACAAAGTCGAACTTTCAATTTTTCTTGTGTTGGTTTTGCTTTCTCTGATCTAAGAAACCTTTGCTTAGTCTCAATTTGAGAAGAGAGTCTCGTTTTCTTCTAGAAACTTTATGGTTTTAGCTTTTACATTTAGGTCTAGGATTCATCTTGAATAAAGTTGGCTGCTGGTTTGAAGTAGAGGTTGCGGCTCATTTGTCCTCCTTAATGGTTATCCATTTGTTCTCATACCGTTTGTTGAAAAGACCTTCGCTTTACTTCCCCACTTGTAAAAATTCATTCAGACGCATTTGGGCCACAGTTGCTAGGCTACTATCACCTTTTCATCCGGGAAGTGTTACTCAGATTGTTTGACTCAGCTTATCGGTTACTGCCTCCTCAGTGAAGAGGTGAGTAGACCGTGGTTAAACATTCCCTCTGAAGGAATTTAAGTACGATGAGTAAGGAATGGAGAAGAAATTGTGGGTACAGACAGCTTACAACAGTAGCCTGGGTCGCATATAATTTTTTTATCCTTGCCTGAGGACATGTTTTTATTGATTTTAGAGAGAGAGGAAGGGAGAGAGAGAAACATCGGTCAGTTGCCTCCCGTACGCGCCCCGACTGGGCATCGAACCTGCAACCTGGGCATGTACCCTGATCGGGAATCGAACCTGAAACCTTTTGGTGTATGGGATGACGCCCAACCAACTGAGCCACCCGGCCAGGGTTTCACTTACAGTTTTTAAAAAATATGTGTTTGGGGTGTTGTCTTAGAAAAAGTGTTCTCCATGTCAAATTTTGACAGAAGGATGGGCCTCTAACCACAGTACTAATTTGTTCCCTTTCTGTTCAGGTCGTTTTCAAGCACTCTGTCCTTTGCTCCTTTGTTTGTTCTTCCCCCAGCCCTAATCCCACATCCTCATGAAACCATCGACACCATCCTTGAGGCCCGGCTCACATGATCCCGCCTGGACAGAGCTTGCAGTGCTCTTCCCGGGATTCCCGGGTTGGAACTCGGCTCCCTTCCGCACAGGCCTGTGAGCTCCCACAGGCTTCCGGCCTGTCCTGCCTTGTGGAGCTGTCTGGGGAGAGGCCTTGTCTCTCCCAGCTCAGTGGCAGGGCCTCTGAGGCCAGAGTGTTCATCATGCTCAGGTGGGCTTCCCACTGCACCTGGCACTGGCCTGGCCCAGGGACGGCCCTGCGGGCTGTGGTTCAGTGATCAGTGGACACCTCGGCACCTTTCCGTGTGGAAGCAGAGGAAAGGGCGATTTGTTTCACTGATGGTTTAGCAATTGGCACAAAATTAGGTTGCATCATGCAAATGACAGTCTTAACCTAGGACTCTGTGTTCTCTTTTTCAAGGGCAATTTGAATTATTAGTCACTATCTGTGACTCTGCATAAAGCCTAGGGACACAGTGAAAAGGAGCTCTTAAAACACTAAGAACTGAAATTAATTTTCAGACACTTAGATTCCAGAATCGTGGAATCATAGTAAGAGTCCTATGTTTCTGGTTGTTCAGATGGTATGTTCATTTGCATCACAAAACCAAATTAAAGTGACTTTTGGATTGTTCAGGGTCTAATCTGTATGTCTTCTCTTTCTGTGAATAATTGAAAATTGCTTGTACTATTTGCAATAATTTTACAAAAACCCGCTTATGCAGTCAGTATTCCTGATGGTAAGAAATCACAAGCATATAAATGAGTTAGAGAAAGTTCTTTGACTTAGAGATTCTCTTTACCTAAGAGAAGGACAGATCTTCCTACACTTGAAATGCATTTAAAATTATAAATAGTCCAGATCTCAGAAGAGCTGCCAGGCCTACAAGGTCCAGTTTAATAGGTTAATGTTTCGGTATCATTACACAGATTTTCCAGCGATGCCACCGACAAATCAAATCAGCTAATTCAGTGCTCAGGTGTAAGTGGGCTTCTTCCTTCTCCTTGATCAAACCATTTAAAGGCTAAGAAACAAACCCAGCTGCTGAGGACCCTGGAATGGCGGCTGGGTCCTAAGGGAACCCGCAGAGCCCGGGCTTTGCGCAGACTCCTCATGGAGCCTTCCTCAGAGCGAGCAGCGGCTGAAGATGGAGTTTGTTATTTCTTAACAGTGATTCCTCATTGGCTGTGTCTCTGTAACTTTTAAATTCTCCTTTTCCTTTAAAACAAGCATTATTTTTCATTGCACAGCTCGCTGAATCCATTATGCTTAAGAGGGATGCATGTGACTTTCTCACAGGTCATTGGCCGATGGGTCGCTCTGATATGTGCAGAGTCTTCTTTACATGCAGTCACTTTATGTCTCTTCTTTTCCAGACCAAAAAATGGCAGCAGCAAGCGGAAGGCCCCCTCCTCCTCATCCGATCAGGATCACAAGCACGGTAGCTCGCAAAGACTCGAACGCGAACGTCAACATCGTGCTGGAGAGGCCGTGGAACGGCAAGTAAGCGCTAGCGAGACTCTTGATTTCATTGTAATTGGCTACCTTTGATGTTGTTGAATCTTGTGTTCCTTCAAGTCTCACAAGACAGAGAGGGTCTTTTGAGCAAGATCTTCCCAAACTCCAAGATGGCTCAGTAAAATAGGGTGTTTATGAAATGGGCATAGATTATGTTGCATCTTAAGGAGCCTGGTTTTTACTGTTGAAGGCATCACACTGGCATGGTGGTTACACTGATAATTACCGCAGGATTTGCTTTAAGACTTCTTTTGTCTGCGGGACAGGAACTCCCACCATGGGGAAGGTTAGTCCAGTGAAAAGGGGAAACTGAGTGGTGATAACGTGTTGAGTTTTATTCATTGTGAGAGCGAGAAATGAAAGCAGCCTTTGATTGGCAAACCAGCAGGGTGAGTTGAACGGGTTACCCTTGCTTACAGGTGATGCTGAATGTTATCATACTTTTAATTTGCTCTCAGTTCCCTGGATGACAGTGTGGGAACAGAGGAGAAGTCGGAGAAAAGAGAGGCTCACCCTCTCTCCCTGTCAGAAGATTCTGGACAGAGGAAGGGCCGCACTGCCCTTCTTGTCCCCCCTGCCATGCGACGCAGCATCGGTGACTACTGCAGCCGCTACGAGCGGTACCTCCGGATGGTCTCTCATGAGGCCGTGGGCTCCTTCAATCCGTGGCTGATTGCTGAAAGGTCAGTAAAATGTTACGTACCTCTCTTTAGGAGCCAGGTGCCAAATGTAACTGACAGGAAGGCTGGAGAAAGGACTGGCCAAGTTCTCATGCTGTACTTTCAGCCTTAGAGTTCCAGTGGTTGCTTTTAGGCTAGTGGTCTGGTTTCTCTGCTAACGTCCTGTTTTCAGCTAGAAGAGACTGTAAAACAGCCTGGGTGATGTCACCCAAAGGAGTGTCTGCAGCCTCCCCTTCTTAGGCAGAGGCACACTAGTCAGGTCAGGGAGGCTTTCCTGTTGCCATTAGAGGGCTACGTGCATCAAAGAACACAAGATATCACTGGGTCAGAAACACCTATGGTCGTGAAATCTCACAGTTGGGACAAACTTGCACATAGGATCAGGCCTCTGGGCTCTGCAGTGTTTCCTGTAACCCTTCTCCTTCTAGGGCCACCTCCCCTGAGAAAAGTCGCTTTGTGGAGTCTGGAAATACAGCCCTACTGCTAACAAAGTTTTGAAGAAAGGGCAACCTTTTTTCATGTAACTGGTTAATTTAAGGATATGTGTACATCCTAATTCATTCTTTTTAAATTGGTCCCAAGTTTAAATTCCTCATGGGTATCAATTTATTATAAACATGCAAATATTTTTTATCACTGAGCCAAGTAGCATACTGTGATTCTGTTCTTTCTTGAGCAAGTTTTAAACATATTCCAGGAGTTAATAATTGCCTCTTTATTATTTGCTTGTTCTTTTATATATTTATTAACTTTTCCCACTAGCCAACATCTCAGTGTAGTTTTCCTCAAGGATCAAGCGGATCAGTTAATCTCTGTCTCTCACCTCCACCCCTACACTTTCTCCTGAGGCCCCCTCTCCCCCATGCTGCCCCAGCCTGGCTCTGCTGCTCTGTATCTGCCATGTGGCTCTTGCTCTGGGCTTCCTTCTTCCTGGCCCTGAGTGTAGGATGACCCCCTCCCAGGTCAGAGGCTTTTACCCCTGGTGCCCTTGTTGTGCCCTCTCTCGGTTTACTCTCTTCCTTTGGTGAAGCATGTCTTGCTTTGTGTATTGGGGGAAATTTCTTGACATTTGCCTGTTTGAAAGTATCTTTATTCTGTCTTCATACTTGATTGATTCGGTGAGTTTAAAATTATGGGTTTATTTTTTCCAAAGAATCTACACCTTCCTTCATTTGTGGAGGTGGAGGGATTGTCACTTAGCTGCCAGGAGCAGGGGTGGAGACCTATCAATCTAGCTGCTCATTCTGCAGATTTTCAACCCATGCCCTGATTTCCTACCCCGTACCTCCCTCCACCTTCATGAGCTTCAGTACTCTTACTACCCGAGTCTTTGTTTTGTGAGACAAATCAGCTTGCTTTTCCTTGACATCTCTCTGGACAGGCTCCTGGGTTTCAGCTCCCTCTGTCCTGCTGAGTTAGGATTCTTTTGTGTGCATTTTATTTTCAGAAAATCTTAGACATTTCTCATCTACCGTTGTCTTATTTTTCTCCTTGTAGACTGATGTATTTGTTTATTTCCTTTTATTTTAGTGGAGTTCTGGGTGGGATCCGAGATAATCATTTATATCAATCCCCCAGGTTTAACCTGAGGTCCTAAAACTCCCCTTTAATATACGAGCTCTTTGGTTCTGGTAGAAGTTTATTTTGTGGGGGAGGAGAGGAGGTAAACTTGACTTGCTTCTGTGTGAACACAGAGTCCTGCAGCATGCTTTCTTGTTTGCCCAGAGCCTGTCTGGGTGGTTAAGTTAACTGGCATACTGGGAAATCCAAAAACAAGCCAAGGAAGATAGACTGTTCCTTGTATGTTCTACCACTTGATAAATGATACACTTTGTTCATAGTTGTCTGTTGCAGTAGGGAAAGCGCTCTCAACCTATATGGAGTAATAGGTGACAGTGTAGAGGACGGAGCTATTGAAATACGCCTGGGCCTCTGCAGGTGTCCTCCTCCTCTGCTGTTCTTTGGCCCTCACATGACAGGGCATCTGAATTTTCTAGCTCTGTTTTTTATCTCTTGCTTTTGTTTCTGATTTGAGTGTTTCAAAGCGAGAGGTGTCTTGATCAGATCTTGAAAAATTATCCTAAGACAGTTGACTTCACTTAATAGCCTCTTGTGTGAGGGAGAACTTAGATATTTTTTTTTCTTTAATGTCTCCATTTCTCCTTACACCTGAGGAAAAGCACTGTTTCAGTGATCAAAGGGAGCAGATACTGTAACCTGGATGTAAATAAGTGAGTGACGGTGAAAGGAAAGGCTTAGGTGATGCTTGTGGTGAAAGCAAACTTGTAAGGATTCCTGGTTTAAAAAACAAATCAGGAGGCTTCTGGGTGAAAAGATAGATTGAACATATGCGTTAATCTTTATCCTATATCTCTAACCAACTATATGTCACTAAAAGAATAAATAAAAGGCATGAACCTGTAAATGACAACAAACAAGAAATAGCAATGGAATTTGAAAGCCATAAAGCAGTTAGACAAATAGCAAATGACTTAGCAAACCAGAGAGAGCCAAGTACCTGATGAGGGTGAAGCCAAGAACCAGGCTGATTTATGCAGAAACACCTGGTAAAACGCAGGCATGAGAAGCACCGGATGCGCGTAAGGCATAGGTGTGATTAATTCAGAAAACAGGAGGCTGTGACGCTCTGGTTCTTGAATATTGGGGACATTTGGTGAAAGCCAGGAAAGATGTATAGCCTCATGTACAGATAAAAAGATCTCTGAGGAAGCCAAGACAGTGCAGGAAGGAGAACAAAACATTAGAAACAAATGAGAATTAATATTCTCAGAGAATAAGTGAAGTATTTCATCATGAAACAACAGGATATATATATATTTTAATATGTTTTTGTTGATTTTAGAGAGGAAGGAAGAGGGAAAAAGAGAAACATTGGTTGGCTGCCTCCTGCACACACCCTGACTGGGGACCAAACCGGCAACCTGGGCACGTGCCCTGACCGGGAATCAAACCAGTGACCTTTTGGTGCAAGAGACGATGCTCAACCAACTGAGCGACACTAGCCAGGGTAGAACAGGATATTATTAAAAATAAACTTTCAAAGAATAAAACAAAAGTTCTTAGAAATTAAAAATATGGCTGAAATAAATTCACTAGAAGGATTCAAAGAAAAAGTCATCACTCAGCAAGTAGAATTAAAAAAAACAAACCAAGGTTAGATAATAGTGAAGAAGAGATTTTAAAGTTAGAGGATTATTCTAGGAAATCGAATGTCTTAGCTCAGGCTGCTATAACAAATACCACAGGCTGAGTGGCTTAAACAGCAAAAATTAATGCCTTATAGTTCTGGAGGCTGGGAAGTCCAAGATCAAGGGCCTGCTTCCTATTTTGCAGACAGTGTTTTCTTGTACTCTCACATGGCCAAGAGAGAGATCTTCTCTTGTGTCTCTTTTATAAGGGCACTAATCCCATTCATGGGGGCTCCACCCTCATGACCTAATTACCTCCCAAAGGTTCCACCTCCAAATACCATCACCTTGGGGATTAGGCTTTAAGATACGGGTAGGATAGAGGGCACACAGATTTTCAGTTTATAGCATCCAACATCTGAATAATTGGAGTTCTAGAATGTGAGAATAGGGAAAATGGAAGAATGGGAAATTATCAAAGAAATACTATTAAGAACATTTCCCAGAAAACTGTTAGTCTCTAGATGGAGACGGAGTGAGTGAGTGAACAAATAAGACAGAACACACGGTGGCACATCATTCGAAAAGGAAATTTGAACATTTCAGTGTAAGGAAAAGATGATAAAACGTTCCAGAGAGCTGAAACTTGGCCTGTTCAAATAATCAGGACTGAGAATGGCACACAGTTTTCAGGAGCAATGCTGCTAACAGGTACTAGAGCATGCTTCCAAAACTCAACCTAAATCCAGTGCTCAGCTAAACCATCAGTTAAGTATCAGGGTAGTGCAAAGTTTCCAAAAATCTAGTCCCCATGTACTTTCTCAGTAAGCTGCTGGACGGTACATGCCACCAGTACAGGTGCACATTGGGAAAGAGAAAGACAGGATTTAGGAAACTTAGACTCCGACAGCGAACTTCCAGAAAAATGGCCAAAGCTATTTCCAAGAACTCAGTGAGCAGGAGTAGGAGGAAAGAACTCCAGGAGGAATGGTTCCCGCAGGGGGACAGCAGGGTGAGGAAGGTCAAAAAGAAGAAAACAGATACATTACTTAATGTGTTTGAATGCATTAGGAGTGCCTTGGCATTTCATAGTATGATGATTTCATAATGTAGAAGAATTCACAATAGGAATGTGGAAAGCAAAGCAAGTACAGAAACAAGGTAATCACTGGATGACGCACAGGGTAATTGGGACCACTTCTCCCACTGCGGTAACTCTTAATAGAAATGCTAGATTAAAAATAAAGCGTAAGTGCTGGAAGGCATCAGGAAGTTAACTAGGTGACGCAGAATAACTGGGGCAGGATCGTGGAGAAGGCAGATGGGGGGTGGTGTTAGCCCCTGCCTGGCACTGCAGTGTCCATTCTGGGGGGACAGGGCACCTTGAGTGACATTTCCAGATCAGAAGACAGAGGGTGGTACTCGGGCTTGCCATGGTGGGGAGTTGCCCTGGGGAACCTGCCTCACTTGTTGGGGAACCTGCCTTAACTTGTTGGGGACCCTGAAGTGAGGGTGACCTGGATGCCGGCAGCCCCTCTTGGACTCCTCTCAACTCCAGATTATCTAGTTCTGCAGATTGTATCGCGGTGGTTCTAGATTATTGTCCGCCAGGCATGAGGCAGAAGCTAACGTAAATTTCCTCTGAGTGTACAGAACATCATCCTAGACTTAAATTACATTTAGAATTTTCAAATACAATGCCTGGTATATGGTGGAGAAGAACCAGGCAGCAGAGGGACAGTCACAGGAACTACAGTAGCTCCAAACTGTAGGCCCGTTGGACACAGCCATTACCGTTGGGCACAGCCATTAAAATGACAAAGACATCAGGCTATAAATTCAGGGAGCTCCAGAAGCCCCAAGCAACAAAAAGAAAAGTAAATCTAGACATAGGCATGTCATAAGAATGTTGAAAAAGCAAAGAGAAAGAGAAGATCTTAAAATCAGCTGGAGGAAGAATGAAAAGGAAACAGACAATGGAAGCTGGACGATCTAGCATATCTTTTAAAATTCTAAAAGAGGAGACTTTCCAACCTGGAGTTCTAAGCCCAGTGAAATGTATTTCAGGAAGGAAGGTAAGAGAGCCTCCAGACAAAGCTGAGAAAATTCATTATCAGTAGACCTTTATTGTAGGAAATATTAAATGGATATTTTTTTAGCCAGAGCAAAACCAGTCACAGATGAAAGGTCAAAAATATAGGAAGGTGTGAATTTTTAAAAAGGTCAGTCATGTAGGTAAGTGAATATTGACTGTATAAAACAATAAACTGGTGTCCTATGGGTGTGTGTATGCATTTAAAACACAGTAACAATAGCACGTGAGCCAGGGAGATAGTAGAGTGTTAGAGCTGGGAGGGGAATGGGGCAAAGGGGGTAGGAGAAGAGGGCAAGTAACACTTTCTGCGTTTACCTCTTTTGTATAATTCTGACTTTTGGAACCGTGTTAATGTTTCTTATATATCCCTCCAAATCAATGAAGGGGGACCCTAAGTGGGGATACAAACAGAAACATGAACCTAACTGCATGTCCAGTAACAAGATCATTCTAAAGGGAGCCGGGACACATAAGAACTAGTCAGAGTAACTTTTGAACGTGGTATTTTGATTCTGTGCTCTCTGGTTAAAGACAAAAAATAAAAATCTGTAAACACATACTAGATTCTGGCACGTAGGTTTCTTTTACATGGTGGCATGGGTTAATGATTCTAAAATTACCTTCTCTGTATTGTAGGATTGATCAAATAAGTAAGTATATTGTGAGTAATAAGAGCTGGGTTTCTGGGGCAAGGCTAGAATGAGTCATCTGTTGACCTAGCATTGGAGGTTTTATGAGTTTATAGTTTTTGGTAGATAGGGAAACATCACATGGAGTATGTGCGTCTGTCTGTCTGAGTCTACCTGACAGTGGCACCAGTGGCAATAAACACATTTAGTACCTAGATCTGTGTTTCTAAAAACTGTTTTCCATGAAAAGGTACCAGGGCTTCTCGGAGAAATGGCTCATTCCAGGACTGGGGCTGGGAAATGTAAGATGAGCCTGAAACATCATGTGCCAGAGAGGAAGTGTTCAGAGAATGATGGGGACATGTCAAGGGGACCCAGGAGCCAGCTTGAAGGGGCTCCTACTGGCCAGACTGGGACATTTTAGTATCAAAATAAGTAAAAGTAGTAATGGATTACAAACTATTGAATAAAGAGTCTCCAAGGCCAAGCCTATATGAATGAATGATGAATGAATGAATGAATGAATGAATGAATACATAAATAAAGGAGAAAGGAAAGCTCTTTGTTCTGTAGAATGCCAGCTACTTGGTGGAGAAGGAAGGATGGAATTAGAAAATCAGTGTTGGCAACCCTGTGCTCATTGACTCAGGTGAGTTGGATGAGAAACAAGGTATTTACATAATCACACGGCATCTCCCCACATGTACTTGTTCGTCACAAAGGGAAAATAGTCGCTGGACAAGGGAGAAGCCTGGCAGGCATCACCGTAACCAAGGGAGAGCAATTCACACTCACCAGTGAGAAGATAATAGACACACTGAGGGGACGCAACCGTCTGTGCCATTCGTTCCAAAAACATGTAACCTGACTCTACCCGTGGGGGAGCATCAGACAACCCAGACTGAGGGACATTTTACTCTTTAAAAAGTAAGGTCCTGAAAGACAGAAGCTGAAGAACGAGTCCAGGTTAAATCCAGCGTGGGGTCCCGGGCTGGACCCTGGACTAGGAGAGTTCTCTTTTAAAGGACATTATGTGAGCAGTTGGCAAGCTTTGAGAAAGGTCTGTAGATGAGATAATAGTATTGCATCAGTGTTAATGTGATTTTTATAGTTACGGTTATTTAAGAGAATGTCCTTGTTTTTAGGTCATGTAAACTGAAGCACTTGAGGAATATCAAGTCTGCAACTTACTCTCAAACAGTTTGGAAGAAGGTTCATGTGCTTGTGCGTGTGCATGCGTGCATGTGTGTGTGTGTTAAGAGAAAGAGGGAAACACAAACTTGAGTGTCCTGCCCCCAGTCCCGTAGAGAAGGCATGCAGCTGTCCGTGGTGGAGCTGAGCTGGGGCTGGGTTGCAGGTGGTTAGTTTCTGGTCACCTCTGGTTGCACCCACCTTGAGGGTGAGGTCCCTCCCTGTATGTAGTACAGGCCCCTCCCTCTAGCCTGATTGTAGAGTCTAAGTGCTACCATCTTAATATACAGGAAGGCAAGGCCTCACCTTGTTTTTTCTTCTTCAGAAGTATCTTGGCTCTTCTTGGCCTTTTGTGTTCCCCTTTAAATCTTCGAACTGACTTGGTGTGTTCTCCAGCTGAGTAAAGGGGATGGCGCCCCTCTTTGGCTGCACGTACCTTCAGCTGCGTTGTTTGTCTTCCAGCTTTTCAGAAGAGCTGATAGATGAAGCTCTGGGGTCTGTGGCTGCTGAACTTCAGGATGTGTGTGAAGATTATGCGGAAGCTGTGTTCACCTCGGAATTCTTAGAGGCTGCCGCCTGAAAGCTCTCCAAGACGGGGCCCGTGTCGCACTGGAGAAGTGGCCACAGCAAATGTTGATCCTCAGGCCTCAGCTGTCCATCCAGGCCCAGAAGGTGCCGCGCTCTGAAAAGAAGGAAGTGCCTGTGAGGTCCTCCTCACTGCATTTTGCCATTGTCATGGCAGTGGTTCTAGTAGTGTATGGCGGAATGTGATACATTGATTAGTACCCAGGAATCAGGAATCGATTATGACAACATATTTTCTGAATGTATGGTTTTCCTATTGATACATTCACCCACTGGCTCAGTTTGGTGATCAGAATGTTTTGAAAAATAATAGATGGGTATATTTCATACAGGGATTCAAGTTGCTGTTGAACCTGTGGGTGGATCAGTGCCAACAAAAGTGCAATTACTGTCTTGTCCCATCACCTGGCTCCTGTTTCATCTTTGGCAGTTTCCCAGCAGGACACTTGTCCCCACTGGGTTCAGACACGTGGTGAGCCCAGACTTAGGCTGTACTGCAAACCGCTGCTCTGTTGCAGCTCAGTAGTAAGAAGCACCAGTTATCAGTGCATAACAGTAGCACACATTTTTCTTGTGTGCAGTTCCTCAAAGTCTTCCATTGTTTTCGGTCGGCATATTCTGTATACAAAACTTTCTCTGAATTCAGAGGAAATTTGAAGGGTGGGCTTGGCCTTGTCTTGTGCCTGGTGAAAGGTCCAGAGCTCGCTTCCATCCCTGGTGAGGTCAGACACTTCTACATCTCTGAACCGCAGAGAAACCTTTGTGGGAGAGGATGGATTTGAATGACTTGAAGACCCCCGTCTGGGTCTCCAGAGAAAGGAAGAAACTTAAGAACCGTAATAACTTGGTCCTCGAACATCTTATAAGTCATATTTTACCGTGAGAAAAGCCTCTGTGTTTTCAGAAACAAGTCAGAAAAAGGGGTGTGTGTGAAAATAAGGCCACTGCTGGAAAAAGGGTCCCTTGGTGTTTTGCCCAAGGCTTGTGAGAGAAATGTGAAGCATGAATGATGTGAGCCATGCCCCATGGGATAATGTGAATCTTTTTTGTAACATATATATGTATAGTGGTGTCACCTGGGGTTTTTCTCTGAAGTGCAAGTATTCCAGATGATAATTTAAGCTGCTTGATCCCACTTATTTGTACAAAATTGATTTTTTTTTTAATGTTAATGTTTTCTTGATTAATCTTATATAACCTCAGAATTAAAAATGCTTCAAGGAAATTAAAGGGTTTAATTTGAGGAGTCAGCTGTGTATACTTGAATTGACAGGATCGTCTGTCACTGATAGCTCAAAGTTATTTGTGTGGCAGTTTTTACTGTGCTGATTTTTAAATAAACAGTATTTTAAAGTATGTGCATGTCTGTTTGAAATAGTTTACATCTTTTTTTCCACAGGCAAAGTGAAATGTTACAGAACCACTGAGAATACTTTTATATTTGATAAGGGCATAGTGGATTATTTGCCACCCCTTACCCACCAGAAAGAAAGAAATGATAATAATACTGTGTACCAGGCATTGCTCCAAGTGCTTCCCACGTGCTAATTTGTTTAATCCTCATATCTGTGTGAGGCAGACACCATTCCTTTTATTTTATAGATATATAAAATGAGGCACAGGGAGGGAAAGGACTGTGGTCAAGCATCGTGGAGTCACTTATTCCTATAAAGGTCCCTGTCACCCTTCTGAGAGTTCGCAGGAGTGCGTTCTCCTGCCCTCGGCTCAGGCAGCAGGGCCCAGGGGGTCGTGGGGAGCCATCCCTTTCCTTAGCACTTCCCTTGCTTTGTTTCAGGATCTTTCCAGTCTCTCCTGCTCCTCCCACCGGCTGGGTCTCCCCATCTCTGACTCAGCGAGGGTGAGGCTGACACCTGCCTCCTTCCCCCGCCTCCCTCCCTGTCCACTTCTACCTCATAGCCTGAGGTGCAGGCAGTTGAGTCCTTCGGATAGAAATGTTCCTGTTTGAAGCCTTGCACTCTCCCAGGCCTCTGGAATTTTTCTTCTTCACGAACGAAGGCTGTGTGTAGGTCACTCTCTAATCCCCGTCTGCCTCCTCGTGACCTACCCACGTGTTCGTTTCAGAAGCGGACATGCATGAATGCAGCATTTCAGGGTTAGGCTGTCCCAATTCACAGAGATGATGGCATTCAGAAGTATGTTTTTCATGCTCCCCACCGGTCTCCAGCTTCACAGGCCGGTCACATGGGGGTTTTAACTTGCTTACGTGCTTGCCTCTAGTCTGTCCAGCTTCTCAAGAGCCAGGAAGCATTGAGGCTCAGATGAGAGGTGGTGTTGGGAGAGTCTTCCTCCCTCACCCGCTTCTGGAGGGAGTACCTGGAGGCTGCTCGGACTGCTGCACTGGGCACTGCTGGGTCTGCGAGCAGCAGGGCGTCTGAGCGAAGCCCTGGGCCCACAGGAGAGGAAGGGGCTCCACGCGAGTCAGAAGGTCTCCCGTGTTCTCTCTGGCACAGTGCAGGCTTCCTTAACTTGTGCATGTTTCTGAGAGGGACTCTTATTCTAGCAGCTTGAGAGAGGGGAGAGTTCCCTGCAAAACCTGTACGTCAGGAGTGTCTGCGACAGCGCCCTTGGGAGGGCCGGCTGCTGGCTGCTGAGAGAGCGTGGTTCTTGGGGCACTTGGAAAACAGCAGGAAGGCAGTGGCGGACCTGCCTTGTTACTAAACATTGGCCTTCCCCTTTAGCTCTCTGTGGGTTCGGGAGCAGAGATCTGGGATCTGTTTCGACACTGGCGTGTTTATTAGGTGGTTGAGCCCAGCAGTGTGGGCCGGGTTGGAAGGGCTCCCACTAGACACCCTGAGTGCTTCCTGTCAGTCTCCAGTGAGAGCCCCAGGAAATCCCAGATGAAGACCCCGGGGCCCACTGTCAGGCCCAAGTGAGCTCAGTCAACTAATCCATCAGCGTGGATCCCACGCTGACCTGGAGCTCACGCTCTGATAGCCAGACTATCGCAGACTATCAGTGGGCCCTGGGAGGGCTTTCCCCTCACACTGGCTGTCCAGCCTGCCCAGGGCCCTGTTCCTGTGACACGGCCCTGCTCTCTCTCACCAGTGTTCATAGGGCCTGAGGTGTGGCTCCTCACTCTCAGCCTGGAATGAGGACCCCAAGACCACCCACCCTCCTGGATGAACCCCCTTTATCTACTGCTCTTCCTGGTAGTAACTCTCATGCATTTTTCTTGAACCAAACCTGCTGCCACTCCCAACTTTTTCTGGCTGGCTCTCCATTGATCCTACCTGACTTTGCCGTGGCCCGCAGATGAGTCCATCTGTCCATTCCTGCCACCATGGCCACCCCAGCCCAGCACCCCAGCAGATGTATCCGGAGGATAGGCTCCTGCCATGTCCTGCTGCACTGAAATAAATAACACCTTTGCTTCCACCCTTCCCTGAGGCCTGGCTCTCTGCAGACTGTGCCATGGGGCTGCTCCCTCCCATCCTCTGGGGGGCCAAGAGAAGGCATCCATCTCTCTCGGCCTCCATTGTCTCTCCCTGACCACTGTATCCTCGAAGAGTGGCCTTTCCCCTTGGGACGTCCAAGCCATCCATATATGCCATCCCTGCTGATGTTCTTCACTCCCCATGAGACCCCTGGGTCTCTCCCTCTGCCCATTCCACTACCTTAAAATCCTTTGTAGAAAACCTTTAACAGTCTAGCAGTTTCTTCAGCATTCATACGACAAAGCTGCTCACTTTAACTCCCCCTCTCAGCACCCAACCGTAAGTGTGCCCCTGGGAGCCAATCATCACCCAGATGCTGCTGGGCCTCCCTCCTGTCACAGCCTTTGCGTCCCCAGGCGCTGTGGCCCTTTGATTTCATTGCATCCCTCCACCCTGCCCTCTTCTGCTCCCTCTCTTGGGATAGCTTTACTCCCTCCCTCGCCCAGCCCAGCGTTCCTCACTGTCTGCCTCCTGGGACCTAGTCACGTGTTTCCCTTCTGCTCTGTGAGGCTCCCTAGAGTCTGTCCCACGCATCCCTCCTCTGTCTGTGCTTGGTCTTGGTGGGGGCAGCCTAAGCCCTCCCGCTCCTGGGCTGCAGATCCTGCAGGAGGTTGCTCAGCCTGTGCTGAGAGGCCAGTGCACATTGCTGCCACCCACCGGGTGGGCCCTCAGGACCTGAGTCTGGCTCTGTGCATGCCTGGCAACCCTCCTGGGAATGGGAGAAGTCCAGGGAGACTCTGGCTCTGAAATGCTGTGGTCAGGTGGCTGGAACATTCAGATCCCAGATGTATGGGCTCTGCCATCTTCCCCACAGCCCCAGGGTTCCCTAAGCCTGGGCTGAATTTGACTCAGGAAGCTGCCAACAGATATGGATCCTTGAGAGCGCTCAGGAGGCTGCAGTGCAGAGAGCTGGGAGATGACGCTGGCACCAGGACCTGTGCAGCCACTGTCCTTTACGGCCCCTCGAGAACTTCTGGGAATGAGTCCAATCTCCAGGGCCAGGCCCAGAAGGAGAGTTGATTCTCCTTGACCCCAATTGTTCAACACACTGTTCTTGGAGAGTTACCTAGAGACCAAGAGAGGCTAGGTAAACAACACCATCCCACATCTACTGAGCACTTTAAATTTAAAAAATGCCTTTGAATATATTCTCTTCTCTCTTTAGGTCATTGTAGCCACCCTGCTTTGTGTACTAGCAGTAGCTCGGCCTGATTAAGAAGAACATGAGCCATGAGTTACCTCTATGCTTCAGTTTCCTAATCTGTGAAAGGGGTAGTCACAGTAGTGCCCTCCCAGGGTTATTGTGCATAGTAAGGGAAATAACCCATGCAAACTCCTAGAATAGCACCTGGCGGAGAGTGAGCGCTCACTAAATGTTAACTACGGAATTTATCACTGAGCACCTCGTCGGAGGGAACCCTGTGGCTTGTTCTCACAGCCTTAGTTCTCAAGTGCTTTTCTTGTCTTCTCCCTGTTATGTTCTCTCCTGCTTATAATCCCGTCTCTCCTTGCCTTGCCCTTCAAGCCAAACACTTGGCAACACTTCCTAGCCATGCCACTGGCTGCCCTGCCAACAAACCGCATCTGGTTCCCCACCGCAGCTGGTCTGCCGGGGCCGCCTCAGATAACCACATCATGGATAGTGCTCCTGCAAGCTCACTCTGGGGCACCCGGTGCCACCAAGACTTTCGAAGCTGGGCCACATCCTGTGGAGCGGGCAGACAAAGTATTAATAGCCCCATATCACAGGTGAAGAAATTGAGCCCTGCAGAAATTAAGAGACTTGCTCGGGGACCACACAGACACGCAGAGACAGACCCAAAACGCAATCTGCATCTTTTGACTTCAAACCAAGTGTCTTTTCCATTCTGTGACACAAGTTTGTCTTTCTCTTAAGTAGCTGATTCTTAGATGGTCTAGAAAATCTTAGCAGGTATCAACCATAAGTCCAATCTCCATTTTAAAATATTTACTATTGTCCTGCTCTGTGCCAAGTACTGTGCTTTGTTCTGGGCATACAAAGTTGACTAAGATGAACTTTCTACCTTCCTAACAGAGCCCGGCACAGCAGCACAGCAGCCCAGAGCCAAGCTGCTGCCTCAGTTTCCATGCCCTCCCATCATCTGCTGCCCTCGTTCCCTTCGTTCCTGCTAGGGCCAAGCCCTGCCCAGAAGCTAGCCCACGGAGTGACAATAATCCATTATGAGTGCTTTATTGATGTGATCTCATTTGATTTTCACACTAACACCGAAATAGAGATTATTAACCCATTCTATAGATGAAACTGATGAAACTGAAGCCAAGTGAGATGGGAATTTTCCCAACTAGAAAGTGGTATCACCACGCCTGACTACGTATTTTGCTCTTCGCAGTGGCCTCCCTGGGCCTTGGCATCCAGCCTGCTGCTTGCCAGGCTCTTCCTCCTGCCAGGGGCTGGAGCCCCACCTTGATGGCACAGCCACACACCCTTAGGAGGCTCACCTGTGTCCTTGCCTCCTGTGCAGGGCCATGTGCTGAATTGGGCATGCTCGTACCAACCCTTGTTTGGGTGGTACCTGGGCCTGCTGGGCCTGCCCAGTGCCATTTTGCAGATGGCCTTCTGCTCCATCTGTACCAGCCTTGGTGGTAAAGCCAGTGTCCCCAGCCCTGCAGTCTAGTTTCCCCCCGTCTCCTAAAGGTATTATTCTCTGGCAGCCCCTCCCCACGTGGTGGCCCACCGGGCCCTGCAGCCCCACCTGACAGTGTTACATTTAAGCAACCGCAGCAGAAAGAAGCCCCTCACTCCCAGGAGGGCCAGCCGATGCCACTGGGTGACTGCTCTTTGGTCTTATTGGCTCATTTCAGGCAACAAGCCAGTCCCCCATCTAATCCCTGTGCTCTGACTGGTCAGACCTGAGACACG